GTATCGCCGAAGTTTCTCGAAAATAAATTTTACGGGAAATTAACAAACGACCAGAGACGCAACAAATTTGTGTGAGAGAGTTGGACGTAAAGAAAAAAAATGGAAACGAGAAGTGACAAATAAAACTACAGGTTAGCAGATTTGATGGCAGCAATACACGAACATCAAAAGAAACAAGAAGAGAGATTGAATGGGAAGGCCAGATGCAACCCAAAAATAGAAGAGCTTCTACGACTGGACTGTTTTTCCACTGATAAGAGAGGATAGATCACGAATTTCGTTTTCTTCTCCCGGGTTTTTAGAAATTTCACTTCGAAGAAAAAATTCAAAGAAAAATATACGTAAACAGGAAACAAAAGTTAACGAGGCATTCAAGAATGGCTTATTTATCGTGTTAAAAATGCCAAGTTTGTTTTAGAAAAACTGATTATTTTTTCACGAAAGCTGCTATAGTTATAACTTTACTATGGAGGTCGAAGTGGAGGAAAGGATGGCTCATATGTAATTAATATGCATATGTAAATGATGTGCGAATTAATGATTAATATCTAATCCATGCTTTATTAATTAAAGCTTAATATGCATAAAATAATTAATATTCACGTTTGAGTATCTAACTAATTTATTAAGTAGGTGTTAAATAATTAAATGATTAATATGTCAGTAATAACCAAATTTAATTTCAAAATATTTTTCAAACAATTAATATGCAAGCCCTTGACGGCAGTGGATCTTTTTCCAAGAAATGAGGATGTTGCTAGGTGGTATCATATCATTACGTCATGAACGCCATAGGGCGGTTTGATAGGTTTGTTTGTTTGGAATTAAGCACAAAGTTACATAATGGGCTATCTGTGCTCTGCCTACAACGGGTATCGAAACCCGGTTTCTAGTGTTGTAAGTCCGCAGACATACCGCTATGTCACTGGGGGCTGGTTTGCTAGAAGAGGGGTGACATCATTATCATAAGGTACATTGCTAACATTGATCTTTGCATATTATTTTACCAGACTTCTAGTGTTCACTGTTATAATTAATCTTTAAGCATTCTTCTGTTTGAAAATAACGTAGCAACTCTGAACCATAAACATCAACCAACTTGTCCTCAGAATAAACCTCTGTTTGATGTATCAGAAATTCCTTCCATTGAAATGAAGAAGGTCTCTTCACAGTGTAAGGGTGACAACAAGTATCACAGAAATAAATCAACAAAACAAACTTTTAAACCAGAACTAGAGGGTATGTTTTTCTAAATCACATCATCTGAATCAGAGTGTTCCAAAGACCAGCCTACATACCTAGATTCACTAACACCAGCTCTTCAAGCATGTTTAGATTCTCCAGAAAATCTTGGTTATTATTTTACTAGATGATAAACCAGGTGATCATAGAAATGCATTTCTGGACGTTTCACTTATAGAAACAGGTGCAATAAAAGGACCTGGAGATTTCGAGAGTGATTCTTCCGGACTCCTGATCACTTGTGATATTCTATCTAAGGCATTTCTTTTTGTAGAGCTATATAGATATCCAATTTTGTTTTACTTTGTATGATTATTCTTTGTGATATCTGAGTATCTTTCAATAGATTGTTCTTGCTCCTTTTCCTGTAAATAATTTTTTGTGTGTGAACTGTTGTGTGATAAGTGGTGAAATTTTTATTACATTTTTCTGCAATGAAGGAATGGCGATGTATTATTATGGTTGGTTAATTTATTTTAATGACTTTCACTCTGTGAATGGTCAGCTAAATTAGGATAGACATCATTTTTTAATAGAAAGATTGATTGATTTAAGTTATTATGTATATTTGCCTCATAATAATCTGAACGAATATTTTGATTGTCATATGTTCGTGGACACTGTGGTCGACTTGAATAAATAAATGAAGATGTAAGAAACAATGGCCTACATGAAATAAATTGTTGTGAAGTTCCCAAAACAGGTTTCGATCCTTGTTTAATCGAGTTCTTTTGGATGGTATTCTGATACTTACTTGGGAGATTTTGGTATGAATCTGCACAAATTAGAAGTGTCATTAGAGTTTCTCGTGGTATACGAGTTCATTGTATGATGTTGTTTATTTAAAAAAGTAAGATTTTCACAAGAAGCAGATTGACTGACATTCTGATCAGAAAAACATGGTTGTATGTACTGAATGCTACCTTGGCGATTAGAATAAATTTGCTGTATAAACTATCATCTATCTGATCATAAGAAAGATGTCTTCTGTACTGATTGTCCTATCAAAAGCAATAGGTTGACTGTACTGACTACTGTTTTCGTCAGAAGAAACAGTCTGTGCTGTGGTTGGGATGTTATGCCATTCTGTTGCCTTTCATTTCGAGATATGACTTTTTGTAAGGGTAAAGTTTTTAAATATTCTAAACTTATGACTGTAGGAAATTTCTCATTAGTTAACATTCGGTTACACACACACATATACATATATATATCTGCATCGCTAGGCCTAATGTTGCCACTTTAGGCCTAACTGTATTTACAGTAATAATAAGCCTTACAAATATTAAACCCACCAAATTTGACTGTGGGAGCTTGTCTATTCTCTTGACCGTAATAGCAAATTTAAAGGTGAGTTCATCGTCCCTTAACTTTAACCTTTCTCTCCCATAGAAAAATCTCTATGGACGACCATGCTGTATTATAACATTTTACGTCCTTTAATATACAAGTGACCCACTGAAGGGACCCAACATATCTATGATGGATTGTGCTAACAAGCCAACCAATGAATAAGCTTCAGCCCATTTGGTGAAGCAACCAATAATGATGAGCGCATACCAATTACCATTTTCAGTTTCTTTTATAGGTTCAACTATATCTAAGATGATTTTCTCCAGAGGGAACCTACCACTCTATCTCAGAGTGTTCCTTGGCACTACTAGTTTTCCTCTGAGCAGTGTACTAAATTTAGTGTCTACCCCATCACCCAATGTCTTTATACAAATGAAATAAAAAACATTACTTCTATATGTTAGCAATAGTTTGTGATATACAAAATCTGAAGAATTTCCCATCTAAAATCTCTGGGGAATACTAATTTCATCACAGGTTATCTATAGTATCTTAGTGGTTCATAACACCAGTACAATAGTCCATACAGCTCTCTTAATTGACTTTACATAGGTCAGATCCTGTGTGCATCAGTACTATGTTTACCTATTTATAATGGGCAGAGTTGGAGTAATGCATAACATTTTTAATAGGAGTAATAATATTACAGTTACTTTCCACATAAAAAAGGTCATCTCATTGTTTTCTGTTTATACACCAACATTAGTGCTATTTTATTTTTTGTAAAAGCAAATTAAATTTCAGTTTCTAAAAGTAAGTGAAGCATCAAATATAATTTTCTTTTGAGTAACTACCACAACAAAGTTAATAAAAGCAGCTTCCAAAATGGCTTTCATACAAGCTATATCAGCCATGACATCTTAATTTCTTTTTATGCAGCTAATTGTACATGCGTACCTTGTGCATTAAGATTAATTGATTGGATATAAAGTGTAAAAAAAAAAGAAGCAGCAGTATAGGGAGAGAGATATAAAAAGAGATCCCAACTGATAGATAAATACTTCAGTAATCAAATTTATTAAACTATAAAAGTCATAAAAAGGTTTCTCCATGCTGGTCTGTTCAAATTTACTATATGTTGAATCAATGACCATTTATTTTCTATATATTGTAAGTTGTAAAAAAAAAGCCAAAAATAAAAACAAATTTTGTTTTTACTCCTGTTTGTAAAATTGCCAGACCAAAGGTAAGATCTAATAAATGGGACTTTTCTGAAGTTATATACACTTAAATATACTTATTAATTTAGCACTATTAACTAATTAATTCTAAATGAGCAATATTTATGTTTTAATCCTAAAATGTTTAAATATATTTTGTTTTAAGAATTACTTATGCATGAAATTGCTTTAGGTTCACTCTTTATTTTAGTATAAAAATATCATCAATACACCAGTTAATTCCACTACTTACTGCTGGTCCCCTTTGCATCTTACACTGAAAATTAATGATTTCATCCAATTTGTTTGGTCAGTTCTTTACATACAATGATGTAACAGGCAAAAACATAAAAGTATTCAATATGATGCATGTTGAGCTTACTGGTAGCAAATGGTATAAAAACAACTCAGTGGTTTTAGGGTTATGATTTTTTAACTACCATGAAATACCAATATTTTCTTTGAAACTAGTAATTTAGCAGAAACATTCAACGTCTTTAATTTTAACTACAATTTATTCATTTTTCTTTTATCAATACATACATATATGCATTCAAAAAAAAAGAGTACAAAAAATATGAAAGTAAGTAATTTACAGCAAATTATATACAACTTTAGACTAGGGCATAGTTTAAAGACAAAAATACCATGCTAGGTTTGAACATTTCATAAACTCCTTTACTACAGCTTTGACTGTTTCTGATGATTACAATTGCAAACCAAATGGTTTAAAGTAAACCAAAAGAACAAAACAACCAAAAAAACAACTTTCACAGGTACCAAACAATTATGCTTCCTGACTATTCTTTTTGTTGTATCTTACAAGTTACTGTGAAAAAAAACTAGGAAATGTTAGACACATTTGAAATACTGGTAACTGTAGCATAAAAATCATAATTATCGCTGTCATAATAGGTATTTGGAAATTTTGTTTTGACACTATTACAAAACATAAGACAAACAAAACACTGAAAAATCCTTTACAATTTACTAATAAAAAATCTACATCTGTATAGTATACTACTCATGCCCATTCAAGGTGCAGGAATCTAGATTTAATATAAGAAATAAAAGCATATATATATCCATAAAAATCCAATCTTAACATAATAAATTTTTTTTCCTCTAATTCAGATTTTAACTACATGTGGCTAAGTGAAGATAATTTGCTTCATTGAACAAACAAAAAAGTTTTGGTTACTGGGTGTGTGGTAATGGGTAAAACATACACAACTTTTATATACATTACAAAAATTGCCAATAAGAGGAATTTAATTGACGAAAACGTTTCATTAATAACTTTCTTAATTAAACAAATATTTCAAACATTTAAGCTTTTCCCAAATTGATCAGTACTCTCATTAACATGCAAAATTAAAATGACACTTAGCCATACACATGAATAAATAATTTATATTTTTGTAACATGAAAAACTCTGTAGCAGCAGTATCAAAAAAAAAAAAAAAGATTTAATTCACTTCCAATGCTTTTGAAATAATTTCAAATATCAGCTCAGTACAACTTCCACTTCTAAATTGGTTTTTGAAACTACTAAACTAGCAGTACAAATCCAGATTTAAATTTTTGTGAGTAAAGTTTTAATTCTTTTTTTAAATTGCAGTATGCAAGAATCATTTTACGCACTATTATTTATCATGATAAAATGGTCTGAAAATGACAAGACTCAGTCTTATCATACACAACATTTCTTCAAAATTTGAAACCTATACATTATGATTACATCACCTTTACAATGTAAAAAGCAAAAGTTAATTTTACTACATACTGAGATAAATTTTATTACCTAGTATATAAAACATTACATTTTCTGAAAGACCAGTCATTCTTAAGGCAATGACTTGAAACAAATCAATATCAAAGAACCTGTATGAAATTTCTTTTTCAGTAATCTAACAAAACTGTTTTAGTGTAGATTACTTGAGTAATCAAGTGTATTAGGTAATATCACATTATCTACCTTTCTAATTTAATTTGTATTTCATCAATGAATGAAACCATAGTTTTGACAAATAAGTTGTTTTTTTATATTTTAGAGCCACTTTTTTTTCCACTATTATGCTCCATAAACATTTTCATCGCTATATGATACATACAAGAAGAAATCCTCTTCATGGTGTTCCTGCAATGAAATATTACAAAAACATAAATTTTCTACACTGTTATATTATATGATGAAAACAATTGCAATCGCTGTTGTTGTCATTACACTATTTGACATAGCATTTACATGTATTTCCTAATTGATTCATAGTTGGCCTCATTAATCAATTACATTCATCTAATCAATTATTTTCCCATAAGACTTGGATAATTGTAATAATCAAAAACAGTAACAGCCAGAACTACTAATTTTGATTAGTTGACTATTTTCATGAATTGTGACACTAAGTAATTAAGACATACAACATTGAATTAATAAAAGATAATAATAAATCATAATAGTGATATTTCTATCACTTGGATAGTCAAATAATTGAAAATACTAACTGTGATTAATCAATTATTTTCATGACTTTATTATAATTTCAAATTATTTTACACAACACTAACCTACTGTAATTATGTTTACAGGTAATCAATTATATTCATTAACTGAGTTAATCATTCATTTCTAGATATCAATAAAGCAACTATTGCTTTTACCATGTTTACTGGGACAGAAAGATAACCAGATCACAGGTGATCAGATTTTAAAAAGACCACTAGATTGTTCTGAAGAAACAAATAAAGTACGAAAAACAAATATTAATGTAAGTTCTAAAGTATCTTCAAAGATTATTAATTGCTTTGCAAGATAAAGAATTAAAATACAAAAAACAAATACTATATTCTGATTATTTATCCTCACTAGTCACTTGGATGCATCTTAAATTATATATATACACACACATGCAGGCTTCATATATTTTTTAAGTTGTGAAGCCATATATATGTATATATAGATAGTCATATGCATTTTTCAAATTGTATAGATGCATGCATATATATTCAAAGCATATGTGTTATAATATAATAGCATATGTATACAAATACACATTTTAATAATTCTTATATTTCTCCTTCCTCTCTGCTGGTTATAGTAAGACCAGTTATGGCTTTGCTGCAGCTGGCCATATTTCTGCTTAAGAGTAAGATTCTGCACACTCTACAAGGCAAAAAACATGTTAATTACTGTATTTTACAGCATATAAGATGCACCCATATTTTAGCAAAGAATATTTAGGAAAAAGACACAAGACAGACGGTAGTGTGTCGTGCGGCCAAAATAACCTGCTGCAGGACACACTGTGTGTTATTAATAGGAGTGATAGTTTAGCGATTTTCCACCTTCTGTATCTTAGGGTGTGGTAATCTAAACTATGACATATTTTCAGTGGATGTGCTCTAGTGGACTCTTACTTCACATACCAAATTTCAAGGCAATCCATTAAGAAATACCAATTTTGATTGAGTTTCTTCCTATTTTTGTTTTTGATTTACCCACCATCATGCTCCAAGTTAAACAAAAAAATGAAGCTTGGCTAACTAATGAATGAATATTTGCTGTAAAATTCTTATCAATGCAATAAGTGTAGCTACCAGTTTGGCCACCAATTTTGATTTTATTCCTTTAAGTCTCACACTCAATCCTTTTTTCACACCTAAGGTGTTTTTGATTAGATTTGAGTGTATCAAAGCATTTTTCTGTCCTTGAATGGAATTCTTATAACCAATAGAAGGAGCAGAATTCACCTTTAGTTTCTCCAGTATAAGGAGACATAAGTAACAGATAATTTTTTCAACTGACAGGCATATTTCCATTGGTGTTTGTTATGGATATCAATCTCCCCAGTACTGGCCTGAAGTGGCAATAAGTAAAAAAACCAGGGTGTCTTTTGCATTTGAGCAGTTTAAGAACTGTTGCACATTGCAAATAGAAAATGTAGTAGACAGTAGTGTTTATGAGAATTCAGAAACACTTACTGCTTAGCATTGAAAAACCAGGTGAACTGCTCAGCTATACTGACACTAATCGTCTTGGATTACTATTATCTATTACAAATCCACTCATATATTTAGAAAATATTTTCCACTAATTATAAGCCTAATCATATATTTTTGTATAGATTAATTTTTATATTTTAATCTACAATTATCTGGGGAAAAGACTAGGTAGAACTTAGCTTATGGGAGCAAAATTGAGAGGTGCATTTTCTTTCTTTAACTTCACATATTAGATGTAGGATGATTCTTAGATGCTTTTTTCAGGAAAAGAGTGTCTTATATGCCGTAAAATATGGTAACAATTATGAATGGATCATATTAATATACCTTACCCCCCTCCATTTCTGATGGAGTTTGGGTTATGACACTTCTTCAACCCGAAAAAATAATAAAGAAAAACAAATGGACAATCCCTTTTATGAACCACTACTACCGTGGTTCATGATACTTATTCTCACTACCTGCTTATAAAAATAGCAAGAATGTATTTTAGTCTTTAAGATATGCTGGAAGCTTAAATTACTTGGAAAGTACTACTACTACAGCACTAACTAGAGCAGAATGATTAACTCAATTAAATCTATTAATCTCATGAAAGTATCAAACACTCTGTTGGTGTGAATGTGCTTTGTAGTCACTATGAGAAAAGCCTATACACAGAATAGGTGAAGTGAAGAAAAACTATGCTGAACCCCTAGAAGTAATTTTGTATCCCAGTTGAGAAACATTAGTGTCACAACTCATTAAAATAATAAGCTAATTAAAATTAGAGTTTCAGATTATTATTATTTACAATTATTCCCGCAATCCAAGTAATTGAAATATTGCCATTAGGTTTATTTTGTTAAACACAAAGCTACAAAATGGGCTATCTGTCTGAGTTCTGTCCACCACAGTTACTGAATTTTTAGCATCATAATTTTTTTAGCCATCTCATGTGAGTATAATCAATTAATGAGCCTGATGATAAATAGACAAGCCAATTCCACTAATCACCCACCTCTACACTAAACCTTGTATAAAACTGTAAGTTAGTATACTGTATAATAAATGTACTAAAAGCATTAAAAATACATTTAATTTCTATGTAGCTATTCTACAAGATTAAGTATATTTAAAACAATAAATCTTAAGACTGCATTTTTTTACCTGGTACAAAGAACCCATTGTTGCACTGGTAGGAGGAATTACATTGTTTACAAAGAAAAACAATGTACCTTCCGGGCGTAGGTGGATACGTTTTCGAATAAGAAAGTAAAATTGCCCAACTGTAAGGTCTGACGGCACAAGATACTTTTTCTTGTCTAAGTCACCAATATGAGCTTTTTGAGCCTTCTCTACAATTATCTACAATAAGAAATATTCAAGACATCATTAACCCATCAGTGAATATCCAAATGTCTCTAGTATATCCCTGTAGAACTTTCACTTTATGTTAGATAGATATCAAAGTACATGTATAAAATCAGTGGTAGGGTATTGTCATAAATATCTTAACTTAAAAGATCAAGATGAGAAAATGCTTAACTTTATGTCCATCAAAATGAGGATGAGTATAATTATAGATATTTATGCATTTCAAAACTCCAAGATTAATTTCAAGCTAAAGAACTTTAAAATGTATCTTCATAACTTAAAATAATGTTTTTTTCTAAAAGCAACGATTTGTAACCAGTGATGTTTTATTAGGATACCAAAGTTTCATGTAGTTACTTCACATCAGTATATAGGTTCTTGTCTAATTACTCACCATAGCCCTTTTTTCTAATGAGGTAATGAAAACAAAAGCAATAATGATCATGGCATACCTTTAACATAACCTAACGTTATGGGACCTATTGGTCCATCTCTGCTATTCCATTCTCTAAACTAAATTAAAATAATTTAAAACGAAAAAAAATCTTAAAGCCATCCCTTATCATTCATAAACTTATCAAGCTGTTTCCTAAACTCACTTAAATGTATTGCCTCTACAACATCCGAAGGCAACCCATTCCAAAGGCCAACCACCCTGTTAGAAAAATAAAACTTAGCTGAAGATGACTCCTACCTTGCCAAAATTTTTATTTAGGTCTCCTAGTCCTACTATTCTCATTGTTAAATATGAAAAAAGATGATGCATCAACTCTATAAATTCCCTTTACAATCTTAAACA